CATGGTTCTGGGCCCAGAACCAGGGATTTACGCAGCCTGCGGAGTGAGGATTGTGTCCTTGGGCCACGGAGCTGACGATGATTGTTCCGAAGAAATCTGAGCTCAAAGTAGGGTTGAGGGTTGATGCATGGACTGGCCTTTTGCGGGAGCGCTCGTGCTATTGGGGGCCTCATTTGGGTCCTCTGTTGGCGGGGCGAACTCTCACATCAAGACAGGGGTACCTCCTTGTGTCTGCCATTGCGAGTGTGTATCGGAAGGCGAATCTCCAGCGGGCTTTGGCTTGTCTAGTGTGATCATAGCATTCCTCCTTGTGGTCATTGCTGTTCTGAGTTTCCTTCATTGGTGGCGATATCCATCTCCACAAGTGATAGAAGCGAAGGGTAAAGGCAAGAAGGGGGTGCTTGGAGGGCAGGCCGCTCTCACCATTCAATGATCAACGAAGGCGACATAGTTTTTCTTGATTACGGAGAGGCACCTCAAGTGATACACTGCCGCTTGGTAGCAGCCCCAGTTCAGAACGACATCTATGTTATAGTCACTCCAGATTGCCTACTACTACGGAGGCCCAGGACTTGGAGCTAGACCCCCTGCTGGGGTCAACCCTGCTCGGGTATATGGCTTTCAAGCCATGACTGCCATAGAGTATCAAAGATTGATGCAGCAAGGACGCGTCTATGCCAATGGTTTGCGGGCAAGACTTGGGCTTCCACCAGTGGGGGCCGCTCCAGCTCCGGCAGCACCTGCTGCTGCGCCAGCAGCTCCTGCGGCGGCAGCACCTCCTAGTGTGCGGGTGGCGATGGAATCGCGTGGCGCTGTCCGACGAGGCAGTGTTGTCTTTGCGGAGGGCCAGGCCCTTCGTGTGGGGGCACTCCAGCAGGGAGATCGAGCTATCATTACTGGTGCCAATGGGGAATCGGTTTGTCTCAAGCGCATACTGCAAACCCAGGTTGGATCCATGGATAGTAGGCATCTCCGAGTTCTCGATCCCACATTCGATGCGCAGGGCACCAGAAGGATGGAGTTCGCGGAAGCTGTGGCCAGGATGTCCCAGGACAGCATGCCAGGAGGTGGCCTTCAGCTTGATGGTCCACCTTCGTGTTTAGGAGTGTTGAAGGGGATGGTGGCGCGTGGACTGACTCCAGTGACCGACCATGAAAGGTGGGTGCGAACGAGTGAGCTCGCCAAAGGCGATAGATCGGTGTACGAAATGGAGGTCATTACTCGGGTCATGGAGGCCCTGGTGATGATCGACCAGGTCAATGTACCTAATCTCGTGGGTGCAGAGCTGCTTATGAGACGCTGGCAGGTTATTCGAGAAGCTCACCGCATATCCCCCGGAGCTCCTGACTATGGTGCTGCCGACATCGTGATGGGCTGGACGTATCGTCGTGGAGATGGTATGCACCAGCCTTTGGCGAAGTATGTGGCAGATGAGCTGAAGGACCAAGCCGCCATAGCCAAGGCGTCAAGAAAGGCAAAAGAAGAGATGACCACGTGCAAAAAGCCAGAACCCTGGCAAGGGGGGAGCCGGCGGGGCATCCTAGTGATTCAGCTCCTCAGGGCGCTGAGTGGCCACAACTTGGTGCTCTGGTTCTTTTTTTCCTGTGGCAACCTGCTCCTACCTCCTGGGGGCTTCAGTTTTGTTTCCTTTTCGACATGGCCTCAGCTGGACGTTGGCGAGATCTATTGCCGTTGCCTCTGCTCAGGCCGGATGCTCCTATTCGAAAATCGCAGTCTGTGGGCAACCTTTTTGAGTCTGTTCGTTCTAAACGGAACCGCGTCCGAAGGAATGACAATCTTTCTAAAGTCAATGAGGTGATCTCTGCTATAAATGAAATGGCAGGTTTTTCATGTCCTTCCGAGCGGCCTGCTTTCAAGGCCCAGCGTGATGCACAGACAGTTTTGATGAGGTCCATGGCAAGCCTACCTAGATCAGCCGAGAGACCTTGTATGCGTGAGGCCATTCATGAGCTTCTGCACTTATGTCCTTCTTCAGAATACATGCCAGAGGAAGGGACTCGAAGCACAGTACACCCTTTTGATCCTTGCCTTGTTTCTTTGCCTGACTGTGGGGCTGATCCTTTCGACGCCACAGCCTTGATTGATGAACAGGGCCGAGACGTGCTGGAGCGCTTCGAGGAGACCATGCTTGCTTCCGATGAGGCGGCAGGGATGTACTTTGAGAAGCAGAATTACATCAAGTCTTATTTGGACGAGGTGTTTCAAAAGGAGCCCGAAACGTATGTGGGGTTCATCAAGGATTTGTTCCAGAGGGGCATGATTGAGTTCAGGGAGTCAGCCAAATCGATTATCACCCCGTTTTTCGTCACCAAGAAGAACGGAAGATTAAGATTGGTTTTGGATTGCCGTGCCACAAATCAGCATTTTGCTCCGCCTCCAGACATAGCGCTGGCGGCTGGCTACACCTTTGGTCAGCTGGAGGTGGGCGAGGGCCAGACCATGTTCACTGCGCAGAGTGACGTTAAGGACTACTTCTATTCTATCGGGTTGCCTGACGGCCTCAGAGGATTCTTCTGTGTGCCACCGGTGTCTGCACATTTGGTTTGGATATTGATGACGGTATTACAAATGAACAGGTATACCCCTGTATGAAAGTGGTTCCTATGGGTTGGTCCTGGTCCATGTGGATTGCTCAGCGTATTCATCAGCATCAAGCGTGTGTGGCACTTTGCATTCCTCCTAGCCAGGTCCTCGCTGATGGGCGTCCCCCTCCTTCGCTGATTGAAGGCGAGCCGGTGATCATTCCATATGCCGACAACCTTAATGTATGTGGGGTTGATCAACATCGTGTACAAGAAAGCAAAAACAAAGTGGTACAGCAACTACGTTCAGTAGGATTCCGAATACATGAGGAAGAAGATGCAAGCCCTGTGGCGCAGGCGCTTGGTTTCATCCTCGATGGTGAGCGCGGGGAAGTTAGACCGATCCCGCTCAAGCGGGATAAGCTCAGGCTTGTGCTCCTTTGGCTGGGTTCACGCCCCAAAGTATGTGGGAAGTCACTTGAGAGGGTTATAGGGCATTCTATTCACCTCTTCATGTTGAGACGCGAGCTCCTTTCCATTTTCAGGGCCGTATATGATTTCAAAGTGGCGCGCTACAACAGTCCTGTCCGACTTTGGGAATCCGCAGCCAAAGAATGCAGGTGGGCAGCTGCCATGCTGTTGGTTTGTAGGAGCAACTTACAACAACCTTGGTGTGGAGATGTTACTGCGTCTGATGCTTGCTTGTCTGGTACAGCAGTTTCCATGCTTCATTCCCAGCCTGGTGATTGTCAGAAAATAGGAGTGTGTCGGGAGATGTGGCGTTTCAAGTCCAAAGAGCCTCTTCACCGCGCTAGGGATGCAGTGCTGAAGCTTGATCCGTTTTCCGACGCATCCACCGTGAAACCCATCCTGCAAGAAAAAGAGGACCCATTTCAGATCCACGATGAGTTCCAGCATGTGCCTGAACAGTTGGCATGTTCTGATGAGTGGGTCACGCAGTTTGCCACACACATGCAGCATCCTGAACACGTCACACTGTTGGAAGCTCGGGGCACAATGCAGGCAATCCGTCACAAGCTCAGAACCTCCAAAAACTTCGGGATGAGACATTTACATCTTGGGGATAACCTTGGGATGGTACTTGCTTATGACAGAGGTCGAGCCGTTGCTCATATGCTGTAGAAAGGCTGCTGCATATTCGGTTGCTGGTAATTGCTCTTTTACACATAGATGGATACCATCCGAATGGAACGCTGCTGATGGTCCGTCACGGCAGTGGGAGAGCTCCTCAAAAGAGTTTTTCAGCAAACGAAAAGCCAAGGAAATCCAACAAGCGATATGCTACCCCAAAGGCCAAAGCCAAGCAATCAAAGAGCAGACCCGGAGGGTCCCTCGCGGGTCCATTTTACACTGCGCAGGTCCCACACACCGTTTGGGTTTTTAAAAT